CGGACCTCCACTCTCTTGGTTGGTGGGCTTGGCCTTGGCAAGCAAGTCTAGGACAACTTCCACAGGTTAGAAGTGGGGCTTAAAACTCGAGCGGAAGTATGTGCGATTCACGAGTTATTCTTTCCTTTTGCTTTGAGCTGTGGCAGTGACGCTGGAAATGGATGGGCTCAATTCGTGGCTAAAGTCTATCCCATAATATCGCATATTATCCCATATTCTGTGCAACAGGACTGAACTTTTGAGGTAAGTGTATGGGGCTTGATGACTTGCAGTCTGGATTTCTGGTAGAAAGAGACCTGAATGATCTTGATATCCCTTTTTCCCTCGTTCAGCACAGATTTGGCCATAGACTTACCACATTTGCTTGATTTAGTGAGATGCTTGCTGTCCCTTCAAAAAATTGTTTACGTCTGCCGCTTTCTTTCTAGAGAGAAAAAGAAAACATCTTGATTTTTTTCCCTTAGTGAACAAATGATTCTTTAAAATATAAATAAACATTGAGTCTGATAGCATTCGTGCTGTGGTTTTTCCATGGGTGAGATTTTTGCTCTGTCTTGAGCATTGAGATCCTCTCCCTAAGAGAGAATGCATTTCTTTCTGGGTATAGTGTGCTTGTATTCGGGTAGCTCCACGTTGTTTGGACAGTGGACTCGGGTCCAAAGGGCAAGGCTTTCCCCTTAAGCAAGCGTACCTGAGTATATAGCATGTTTCTCGCCAAAGTGAAAGGAAGACTTTCATTCATCAGAAATTATCCATGAAATTGTTAATGAAAAACAAATCAGAAGAATTCCCAGGAGGCTGCATGCTTTCTTCTCAAGGGATTGAGGAAGGATCTGGTGACATGGGGGTTACACAGTGGCCAGGGAGTGGGTCAGTCCTGGTGGTCACACCTGGCTAGGAAGTCAGGAAAAGGGCTCACAGGCAAGTAGAGGAACTGAGCAGAGAGCAGAATTGTGGTGAGGCAACCCCAACAATGAGAGAGAACAGGAAAAAGCTTAGCAGCTATAGAGGTTATGGAATTCAGGCAATAGGACTGATGTCTAAAAATAATTTCTGGCAAATTTTCTGGTTGGTGCCCTGTATAAAAATCCAGCTTGTACCCATTTTTAAAACTCTACAGAAAATATTTACAATATTGTCCAAAGTTTAGAGATCATCTATATTTACAGCAAATATCTATAATGTTGTGCAAAGTTTATGAATTTCGATTTATATTTTCTTTGAATGTATGTCTCATCTGAGACAGAGCCACATGGGGCCTCAGGGATTATTTAGATTAAATTACATATTACAAAATATAAACATATTCTCTAGTAAAATATCAATGCATTAATGTCAACTAATTACAGTTGCATAGCTCTTAAAGATCGTTTTGAGCAGAGTTGAAAGAAATATGCATAACTGGACATAACCAAGAGTTTGACATTATTCTCCTCCTATTATCAATTCTTTGGCATACTTAATTGAAACTTTGAAGGGAGTTCAGTAAATGGACAATTCACAGAGCTGTGACCAGGGTTAAGGGGACCAAGGAGGAATGTTGAAGCACTAAGGGACCAGCAACAATGAGAAACTGTTTCCTGGGACTGAAGGGAGGAGGGAAGAGACAGTATTTCTGGAGTCCATTGAGTTCTACAGCCTAACACTTCAGCCACAGACACCTTCCCCTTAGAAGATGCAATCACTCTTTTATTTCAAACTTCAAAATATATTATGATAATACTCTAAAGGTAAAATGGTCATGTCTCCAAGTGATGACATCATATAGGTGAATGCTCACTTCCAGCTTGCCTTAATATTGTTAAATTAATACCTAACAGGCAAACACTTATTTAAGTCCAACATAGTAAGTTTTTCTTTGCAATTTATTTCATTTTAAAAATAATACAGACACATGGTCATTGTAGCAAACTTGAAAAATTAAGAAACATTTTACCTGTGAATTTATAATAGCTAATCTTCAAAAACAATAGCTAATCTTTTGAGGCTAGTATGTGCAGTCCATTACCGCCCTTCCCTCTTTCCCTCCCTCCCAGGATGTATTTTAATAGCTGTGAAAAATCATCTAGTTTTTCTCTAACTTTAGAACATGAATATTTGCACATTGTTACTACAGATTTTTTCATAAACAATTTTAATGGCCTGATAACATTCTATTCAATGGATAGAATGTTAACATGAAACATTTAGGTGACTTGTTTTTACTGGATCTTGATATATATTCCATTGAATTGACTAAGGACAAGAGGAGTTTAAGAAGGAAAGAGGAACTTCTCACCTATTCACAACTTCCTCTGCTTTACCAGGATCTCTTCCACGTCTCACCAAAATGTAAGTAACTTGTTTTACAAGCAGCTCTTGGAAACCCTGGCGGTGTGATAGACACATCCCTTTCACTCCTGATCACACGGGCCAAGCTGTGGCACCACCCTGGCAGAAGCAGTGTCAGACATATGCGTTATTTTCTGAACTTCCCAAGAGAAAATCTGAGCTTTCAAAAATCTGGGTTTGACAGCTGTTTCTGCTATACACATACACACACAAGGGTTGACTATTGGGATTCTAAATGGCTTATTTTCAGTATTTGAAGAAAATTGTCCCTTTCCCAAGATGTCAAAAATACTTCTATGTGTCCCGAGAATCATGGAAAGTTAGGGAGTTTATGAGTTATCTATGTAAGATTTTTAATATATGACATGTCTGCCATGTTTTTTCCATTCCAAACACATGGCAGACATTACTAATCAGTCTGTCTTTCCTGAGACAGCTTCAGACTTCTTCCCAAAATAGTAATACCACAGCCATCCCTCATAAATGGTTCAAGACAACAAACCTACTTGCCATCAAGTGCTCATTGAACCTCTTTATTTCACTGATAAGGTTATGAAGCATTTTAGATTCTATGCAGCAAAAAAATAGTGTCTCTGCTTGCTTTGTTAAACAGCTGTGGAGGTTTACATTTTAAAAAGATTCCAGGTGATTTGCAAGTTTGAAGACACACCTACTTAGAACATAGGATCAAAGATATACAGATAAGAACAGATCCAGAGAAAGGCTGTCTGGCAGCCATGGGCAGGACCCCATGGGAATCAGTACCTTGGAGAGAGCATCACATATGATGGACTGGTCCTCAACTTCACAGGTCCAGGAACTTAATTTTGTTAATTAAGCAGAGATAGCCGCCTTACAGGAGATGGTCTTGCTAATGAAACTCTCAAGGCATTGATGTGCAAACCAGAATCCTATGTATTAAATTATGGTATGAACAACATCTGTCAGAATAATTCTTTGTAGTCATACCTAGTATGAGTATGGTAAGTACCTCCATGCAGGACCTAGGTTAGAGGCCTAAATGTGTCTTGGTCAACAGAAAATGATAGCAGTAATGCTGGACATTTTTGAGGGATGGTTTCTTCAAATTAGGGTTGTGTCTCTTTCAAGAGAGTTTGATAACATGAAGAAATTCTCACCATTGCATTCATTGCCTTTAAAAACTTTTCACCACAGCCATCCCCTGCTAGATGACTTTCTGTGAGTGTTCTTGTCCATCAAATATATTTCAGCTATCTTCCTGAAGATGTTTGCTGATTCCCCACTTTCTGGTACAATATACTTGCAAACTATTCATAGGGAGTCTGTTTCTATAGCTTCTAAATTCCATGTGTTTTGAGTCTTACTGGCTTCATTTTCTAAGCAAGCCTTTTCCCAACTTTATAAATTCTAACAGCTCCTTCCTGTGGCTCCAAACAATGACTATTTTAGTCAAATCTTGGCTCCCCAGCTGATTTGGGACAAATCGCTTAGCCTATAAGTATTCAAGTTACTTTTCTGAAAAGCAGTGATGAAGAAGTTGAAAGGACTTCCAAAAAGAGTCAATGTCTTAACTGTAAATGTAGTTGGAGAGAACAGAGTCAAGATGTTGTTTAAATACAGGATATTCTTCCCTGCCAGGTGGGAAAAGGCATAGTCTCATGGTCATGAAGGGCCTACTCGGTGCTATTAATGTCACTTAAAGCCAGACTACTACAGACCAACATGTTAAGGAGCAATTGGGGATACTACACATTTGCTTGTCATGCGTCAGATCCAAACATTTCTTAACCCTGGTAGAAGGAGAAAATTCTACTTTTCCAACAAGTGAGTCTGGGAGGATATGTTCATGGAGAACTGCATATACTTACGGTACATCTATTTCCATAATCAAAAGGTAGCCTTTCCTGTTTTATATTATTGGACAATAAGAAGCTTTTAATGCGTTGTACTTCTTTTCCTGGATATTTCTGAAACATAGTTCGTGCCTACTACTCATAACATGAGGGAATACATGATGTGGGGACTCTTACTGAGCTTCCACAAGGTCTCAAATCAGACCCAGGACTTAAGAAGGAAATTGATCAGTTCATCAGTGATTATATAACATTAGCCAAATGTGTTTCTTAAATCAAGGCAGAGTTTACATTTCCTAGGGGCCCAATTCCATTAGCAGTGCTTTCATACTTAGCAAAGTGGAGCCGTGGGTCACTTAGCCAGTGTGTTAAGACTGTGAACACTGAACTGCAGACACAGCCAAGGGCCAGAGGGAGCTTGCTTTGTACCCAGCCACTAGCTGCAGTTGCATGTGAGATTCAAGTGAGACCATACAGCAAGGACTTTGCAGAGGTAGAAGCACTTTAAAAAGTAAAAAATAAATGCAAGGGGATTTGCACCTAAATAAAATGTTTTTATACCTTCAGTTTCTACTAAGCTGCCCAGGAACCAGTGCTCCTCCC